TGTACTCCGCCATTGGCCTTGGCCGGAGCCGTCGCTATCCTGGCGGCAATGTGGTAGTTGCGTCGGCTCTTCTGACTTGCCTTTCAATCAACAACGTTTCAATTCCTTTTTCAAGATGGGCCCACCAATGTTGTCAGAATTTGGGTAATTTATCATGCGTGGACAGTTGAAAGTTTTGTGGCCCTTTCTCCATATATAGGCCCAAATAGATGACCCATGTGATGAGGAATTGTCGAGTTGAGTCACCAATGGGACAATTGGATAGGACACTATCAATGAAGTTGAGAAAGAGTGAATTTTTTTTTTGTTCTATCTAATATTTTTTAGTTTGATTTTTATTTTTAAATTAAGATTGGGGGTTGGGTGGGGGGGGGGGTTTCATTTGGTAGTTTAGTGACTAGTACATATTTATACTGTAGTTACTTAATGGTATTTGGTAATACAATAAGACGATTTTAGCTGCTTCTTTTTTTCTTTTCCTTCTTGATCCGTATGCACAACTTACTTTTTACATAGCAAACAAAGAGTAGGGTTTGATGGAGAAGTGATTGATTTGGTAATCTATGAGTTGATTAAGCAATAAAATAAGTGAATGTGCATAAAATAATGTTAAGTTCCAAATGATTAGATAATATAAACAAAGGACTGAAAAGGAAATACATAATACTCTTTGGATCTGTCAAACAAGTAAACAACTGCCGACTAAAGTACCTGTCTATTATATAATATATAATTTATGAGGAAAATAAATCTTGAACTGAAGGTAAACTATCTATTTTAATATAAAAATAATTAATTTTGATGTAATTCACGCACGGGAGTGGACCTTCAATTTGTGGCTTCGGTTGCGTGCACGTATTTAGCTTGCAAATTAAAAAAACAAAAAAACAAAAAACGAAGAAGTTGAACCTCAACCTTGAGGGCTTCTACCACCCTATCTCTAGAGTTTTGTGAGGGAGGTAAATTGCGGGATATGTCCTAACAGGTCAGGAAACAAGAGCTGTCTGTACACTATGTCTATATAAGGAGTCCAATTTCATGTCTCAGGAATCGAACCCCCCACACTGCGGCTACCAGCAAGGCGTAAGAAAACATTTAGCTTGCAAATTCTTTTTGCTTCTCAAAGTAGTCTCTTACATTCTTACTAGGATAGGAGGCTTCAAATTAATTTTAGACAAAATGAACCATTTATTTAGTCACTTCAATCAATTGTGAGTCTTGTAACATGGCATGAGAAAGTAAGGCATTCGAGTGATTCCATGGTTTCTATTGATCGATTAGAGGGCATATATCTTAACATGGTATCAAAACTCACTAAACTCCAACGAGCTATTCAATCCGATTAAGTCTCAAAAATGAGCACACGAATTTCAAGATTGATTTGCTCAAAAAGAGCCACCATCTTGTGAGGACATGTTAAGGGAATAAATCTCACACCGATTAATTATCGAAATATTGACCAACTTAAATAAATTTTGGATCACTCTTCTTAACAAAGTTGACCTTATTAAGATGGATTACAAATCTTAATCATTACGTCTAATTTTGATATTAAGCTGTCTAATCAAAGATGTTGATTCGTTTACTAGTTGACATTTGGCCAATAAAGAATTTTTATTTTCAAAGTCCATTAAGGTGTAGTGACAGTTCTAAGACACGAGAGACGAGGAAAGTTGGAAAGTCCTTCCTCTCATTTAGTTTCTTGATTTGTAAAGGTAAAGGATGTTCACGATCGGGTTGTTATTTCGGCTAGGCTTCTTTAGTAACTAGGTATTCTACCTTCCAACCTAAACGTGAAGCTCAAAAGATTGGTTCGTTGTGCGTCGACTTTACTAATAGTTGTTTTACAAGCTTAGAAATTTTTAACGACTGAACTTTTTGACATGTGGTGTGAAGAGGTATAACATTATTAAACTTTTCTAGACAAAAAGAGACCAATTACATATTGATAAGATTAGACAATACCATACACATAATTTATATGTTCCTTTTTCTTTTTTACACCTATGTAGTACCAATAAAGTTTAAATACAACTTACACTAAACAAACTAAAATTGAAGTTTGTTAAATTCACTCTAAACACTTTAGAGTAGAAGATATAATTAACAAATATGGATATTCTTTCCGCCATTCCATGAGATCAAAAAGGAAGAAGAAAATATGACTCGTAAAAGTCGAAATCCTCCCACAGTCTTAGTCACCATAGATATAGGAATTTGACGCGAATGGTGCATTGAAGATTAAATTTATCATCGCTTTCATAAAATCGTTTGATCACATAAAAAGGGACCATATCACTACATTTTTTATCATCCAACCATTCTTCACATCAGCCATATGTCCCATTTCTTTACACGTCATTATTTTGTACTTTGAATTTGAAATAAGCACGAGGAAATTAACCATCACAAGACAATTCTTCTGCTACACTTCTTTATGTAGCCAATGCGTAGAGCCAATCTAAGAAAATATATTGTCATATCTAATCCTATTCAATGTCATATGCAAACACATCATCATAGAGAAGAACTAAAAATCGTGTCATTACCAAATTGCAAATAAACATAAACAATAGAATTGGAGCCATTGAATAGAGTGACAAATAAGGATAGGATGATGACAGATGAAGGGAAAATGAGAGAGCAAACCATATCTTTTTTTTTTTTTTCTTGATAAAAAGGAGACAAAAGTATTGAATCCAAAAGCATGACTCTCTCTATCTCTCTCTCTCTCCTCTTTCTTTTTGATAAAGGAATAGGAAAGTGTAAGATAAAGAAAGAATCCACATACCATGCATGTTCCTGGTTGCTGGAAGAACAATCATAGAAAGAGCAAAGATTAAAGCTGATTTTGTTTTGAGTAAGTTTGCCCATAAAAAATTATCCTTTGCAACAAATATTATCTTTGTCAAAATCAAGAATTTTATATATTACAGAGTTGTCGATGCTCCTAATTCATAGTTATAAAATATTAAACGAAGGTATCTTAAACACTAAGAAACTCATGTAACTATTATCCCAATATTACATATCATCCTCTAAAATCACTACCAATCATGTATTTGATATTGAAATGCATCTCTTTGTACCTATTTAACATGCAATATTGACAAGATGGATAATTGGTACAAAACGTCCATATCTTTCAAGTCTATTGTGGAAAACATCTGTATCTTTCATTTTTTGACAGTTTTACTCTCATTTCAACTTTTCTTTGCGTTGGACATCCTTCCGTTCACATTCTGTCAGTTTCTCTGTTAATTAAATATAAAAATGTCTTTTTCTTTCAATAAACAAGGGTAAAATTGTCCTCACCCACCTAAACCCCTTTTTTCCGCTATCAACTTAATCCATAAATAACAGTAGCAACAATATGAATATGAAAATACTTTAAATGATTACGTTAAATAAAGAAAAAATGTCGTGAACAACATTATATTTCGCAATTCCACAACTACTGCTACTGTCATGTTGGGTTACTGGAAAATTTTAGAAACACATATATTGAATGAGTGGTCAATTTATAAAGATTAATACTGGATGTTCACTTCCAGTTTATGCTTATTAAGGGTGAAACCCACCGAGTAAATTGAGAAGAACGAGTAGAAATGAGTGCTGTGAAGTACGTATTATATTTCAATGGTGAATGACCCATTTTGGTTCAATGGAGAAGATGAACTGGTCATATTCACTTCTTCTAAGAATTGAATTAATCTTGTGATAATAGTCCCTATGTTGTTATAATTTTTCTGAAAATATCCCTACCTTTAAAATGTATTAGCAAGAAATGTCCCTATCTTTTAAACAATTTTGCGAATAATGTCCCAACCTTTCAAAATTTTGGTGAGAAAAGTCCCTGTTTTCTTCTATTTTCCTCCTATTTATGCACACAACAATTCAAACTCCGAATACACCAATTCCATCACAGAATCTCAAACCCAATTCATCGATCAATTAACCAACAAACTGAAGAAAAATGAGCACGTGCAATAAAACAATTCAAACAAAACTTTTCATTTCAAATGTGCAAAATATTCACTGTGCAGCCAATAAAAGTTCTGAACTTGCTTAATTCTGTCCAGTATTCAAAAACAGCAAAATGGGATGCTACATTATATCCACAAACTGAATTACACTACCTGTGCACTGAATGAACAAAAACAAAAGCTAACAAAATTAACAGGAGAACTTGGCTGGCAGCTTCATCTTAATGAGGTGCTGGAGGTGGTGTCCCTTTGCAGCCTCACCTATTGTGTTCTGCTTCAGCACATTTTGTACATGTCATTATCAGCCCCGATCTTTTCCGTTGACTTGCAGTTGTTTCTGAAGTTGATTGCGAAGTTCTGGCATTGCTCTTGGACTTTGTACACCTCTTCGGCTGACTTGAAGAAGCCATCTCATTTGGCTCTTTTATTCTATTTTTCTTTAGTCTCCCAGCCCTTTTTGTGTACACTGGTGGATTGAGAGGGTTCAAACCTGGGGTTGGTCATGCGTTCAGACCTGTGATGGGAGAAATTGACGGTGTATATGTCCTCATATATGCATCCTTCTTGTAGATATCATCCACGAACTCCATCACGTTCAGACCTCTAAATACAACGGAGACAATCACATGGACATGTAATTCCTGATAACTGCCAACCACGATATGTATAAGTTCTTGCCCTTAAATCCACAGTATGTAACACAGTTCCTACATTGTGTCAAACTTGAAACTTTTCAATGCCTGCGTATTCAGTCCATTCCATCCTTGCAAGCTTACTATTTTTCTCCAGAATCTTTTGAATTCTAGGTCCTACTGCTGCTGTCCACCGATCACAGGACTCCCTACGGGCTACAATTCTTCTCATCAAATATACCCTTATATCCTCTAGCATGGTTAATATCGGCTTTTCTCTTGCAGTCACAATTGTACTATTAAACGATTCACATAAATTGTTGAGAAGCATGTCACACTGATTCCACTCTCTAAAGTGGGATTTACTCCAATGAGAAGCTGGCTATCCTTCAAGCCATTCATAGGCAGCCGGGTCCAAGTCCAACATCTGTTGCATGTGTTCAAGCCACTGTGATACAGTAGTGGCTCTGGCTGCATCCCACAAACAATTCTTTAAAGCCAAACCCTTGTGAGAGAGTCTAAAATTGTTGTATAGATGTCTAACACATGTCCTGTACTCTGAATTTTCAAATAAGGACTCAATTGCATTAGTCAACCCTTTTTGCTTATCTGAAATGAATGTCCAATGCTGAGTGTTGTGTATATGCAAATCATCCTTCAATAACCCTAAAAACCATCTCCAATTATCCCCATTCTCAACTTCAACAACTGCATATGCCAATGGATACATACCATTATTAGCATCAACACCAACCGCAGTCAACAACTGACCACCAAGTTCTGTCTTCAAAAAGCAACCATCTATCCCAATCACCCTTCTACAATCCCTAATAAAACCATCTCTCAATACTCCGAGGCAAATATACAGCCGTCTGAATTCTCCAGCATACCCCTCAACCAAAGCAATGGTCCCAATATTTATCCTCTTCAACTCCTCACAATAATCCCACAACAATTTGTAATGTTCCACCACACTCTCTCTAATTTTTTCAAGTGTCTTCTCCTTTGATCTATACACTTGCCAATGTGAGATATCACCTAAACCATCCTGCTTAACCCTCTCCATGAATGTAGTAACTGAAATATTTTGGTCAGCCCTCCAATAAGCTAAATACCTATTGCCAAATAGGTTGATGTCACTCTGAAATTTTTATACACCATAGGGCAAACATGCTCTTCTACAAAAGTTTTGATCACCCAACTGGTCTTGTTATGCTCTTAGTAGCATACAACACCCATGGACAATCTCCTTGACACTTGGCTTTCAATCTGCAAGCGTCATCCTTTTTTAACTTAATCTCTCTGTTATTTCTAACTAAATATTCGGTGATTGCAGCCTTTTGAGTGGCCTTTGACTCAAATATTAAGCCTATACAAACAAAAGAATCAATGCATATCATACCTTATTAAACTAAAGTACATAATCATGTTTAAAATAGAAGTAAAAAATATGTTCTAGTTACCTTTTCTAAACACTGGATCCTCCAGATCTGTCCTAACATGAAAAGCATCATTGAAAGCCCTCTTTCTTGAAGCTGTATTGCCTTCTTCTTCACTATGAATGCTTCGTAAATCATCGGAGTTCCCATAGTTGGTATCTGAATCCCTAACTTGACCATCAGATACACCAAATCCGAAATCAAAATTAACCCTTTCACTCCCAACTTCAGCAGTACCTACATGCTCTTGCTCCATCTCATAATCTGATTCCACCAAACCTTCGATTTCATCTTCCCCTCTTGGTTCCTCATTTTGATCCTCCTCCGCACTCAAATCACCCACATTTGTATCTTTCTCGTTCTAGTATTGTAAAGTTTCCTCATACTGTGACCACAACTCCTCAGCATTCTCTTGCAAAAATTGATCTGACCAATTTCCTTCATGCTTCCCTCCTTCGTTTTCTGCAACCAAAGGTATATGACAACCATCAAATGTTTGGTCTTCATCAACTTGTAAAGACCATTGCAATGCATATGATTGCATTCGGGCTACAACGTATATTTTCACATGTCCATTCCTATCCCTAAGCATCCCATTAATATCCTCTTCACTCTCCAATCTCGTCAACCCTTTCCCTAAACTCAGTTTTTGCTTCTTATAGTAAAATTCCAACGCTCTTTCATCACAAGTTCCGTGTAAGAATTTACGCAAATTCTCTCTCGTGCACCATTTATCATGAAAGAAGTCGACGAAAAGTACGAATCCCCCTTCATACGCCACATTGTTTGGCTTATCACAAAATTGGCCTTCATAATGTACTTCGATAGTGAAATATTCAGAATTACCACCTGCAGGCAATAGTATAAAGTTTACATCAAATGGAGAACATTGACTGCACGCCAAAGGAAAATATACATAGTAACAGAAAAACACAATGAAAATTTGGGGATTACATAATGAAATTGTGTGAATGCACAATAGAATCGGATGAGTTCACACAAAATTTAGGGAAAAAACGCTATACCATAATTGGGTCGATCATCGTCGGGATTTCTCAAAAATGGAAGGTTGTTCTTCAAGGGTCTGTGTAACAACAATAAATGACATCAAAACTCCATATAGACTCTCAATTATGCAAAGCACCAAACTACGAACTGAAAAATGAAAATAACCAAAACGTTACCTTCGCTCACGTAAAAAATCCTCAATGCATGCTTCCACTGCACGGACAGATCAAATGCGAGAATATGAACGACGAAGGGAGGAACGGTTGTAGAAATGGAAGAAAAGGTGGGACGTTTCACGAAAAAATCGCAGAGGAACCATCGCAAGCCTCTGAGGAGATGAAGGGGTTGGAAGAAGGGGTTTAGGTGGGTAAGACAATTTTACCTTTGTTTATTGAAAGAAAAATGCATTTTTGTATTTAATTAACGGAGAAACTGACGGAATTTGAACGGAAGGACGTCCAGATCAAAGAAAGGTCGAAATGAGGGCAAAAATGCCAAAAAATAAAAGGTAAGGACGTTTTTCACAATAGACTTGAAAGGTAGAGACGTTTTGTGCCAATTACCCTTGACAAGATTGAACAATATTTTGGACAAAAATTTAACTTATTTTAATACCTTAAATGTACAATGGTTACGATTTGAAAAAAAGGAAAATAAAATAAAATAAAATTGGGATTCCACTACTTACATCTACAATTTTTATATATACATCCACTTTTAAAAATATAATTATATTATATTTTTCGTCTTATGTAAATTTACCTAAACAAACGTATATAAAATTAAATAAAAATATATCGTTCTAACTTCATTCACTAATATTTATTTTCATAAATTCTTTTAAACCTTTTTATATTCTTTTAAAGTTTGTGTTTAACTAAAATTCTAATAATAGTAAATTACTATCTCCATCTAAAATCATAAAACCCTAATCATAAAATCGTCTTCAACCGAAATTTAGAAAAAAGAATCAACACATTATTATAGTTATAATTCTATCATGATATGAAAAATGGAATATTATTTTTTATGCGTATTTAAGTATTGGTTTGACAGACAAAAATATACAAGAAATTTCAAAATAGGTTTCAATATATATCCAAATATTCTTACATTACAAAAGGAAACAAATGTAAAATTATCAGGCGAAACACAAACAACCAAAATTATGAGCTTATAAGAAATAAAAATAAGATAAAAGAAATAAAAATTTGATTAACACATGATTTGAGGAATGATGTGTTTGGTAGCTTGAGCAGTATATTCTTGATAAAATCCTATAAGTGTAAGAAAAAAGTTTTGCTAATCTTTATAACTAAAAATCAAAGCACTGACTCATTAATATAGAAAATGAAAAGTAAGAATCTGATTAAATGTTAATAGTGTTTGGATGAATATAGTATTTTTTAAATTTTGAAATTGTATTAAAAATGTATTTATAGTGGAATGAATATATAAAATTTATATGAATCTATAATGTTTAAATGAATGAATTTAATAAGGACAATGTTGTAATTTAATGTGGAAGAAAATAGTAAATGTTTAAAATTTTAATATTTTAGTAGGAATATATATATAGTTGGATGTATATATAAAAACTGTGGATGTAAATAGTGCCACCCTAAAATTATATCAACAGTTTCCCCTATTTTGTGCTGTGTAAGCAGCCCTACTTTTCACCTCGATGCCTAATATCAATGTTTGACTTCTATGTGTTTTTATCAGCTATTTCTTTTATTTTGCGCCACCAATTACCTTTAAGGAGATGAGCCGTGCTCTGTGTACAAGAATGTTGACACTCTCGTGTACACTCCTTCCACAAGAGAGGTGCCCGCACTTCTTTTACTAGGTGTGAGCCCCCCTCATGTGAGGGGAGTGTACCCGTGTACAAATAGCAAATTTCTAAGGAGATTGGTTTACCTTTTGATAAGATATCTACTGTGTATGCCTTTCTTGAAATCTTATCCTAAACAAAGCCTCCATGTACATCAGTACATGACGACCATATTTATGGTTTGTCGTGGTAGATTTTGGTTTTACTCATACTTTTTATAGAAAAGATTTCCGATGAAACTGTTAGAGTCTAAAAATTCGTTTGTCGAATAAAGTACTTTAAAAAAAATTCAAACATCTTCAAAAATAGATTTTTTAAAAGCCTGTTTGAGCCCTATTTTTGGGTTAAAAATATATTTTGAAATAGTAATTTGATGGAGAATGTGTGGTTAAAATATAAGTAAAAATTTTTTATTTACATGTAATATTATTTTATTGAAAACATGTGGTTGAAAATAAGATAGAAGAAAATGCATTTTGAAAATAATTGGGACCAAATAAGGGCTCACTTTCATAAACAAATTTTCAACAATGTTTCATGTACGTCATAGTATACAGCTTTGTATACACTCCGCTACGTGTGAAGTTTCGACTTGATAGTTTTAAAGAAAAAATTAGACTTTCCATCAATCACACCTTGTCAACTTGGATGATGTACACAATGATGTGTAAAAAGAGCGTAAAAGTGTCTTTATTCAACAACTTTTGACTTCCCAAAAGCTATATCAAACTGCAGACTTTTTTTGTGAAGAAAATTTTATACTTTGAAACTATTGAGAAAAATATACGCTTGGTTCATCAACAAATAAGTAACAACATCAAGAGATGTTTAAATTATCGGAATTCTTAATAAAATGTGGTAAAAATGACAGTATTTTACCGTGACCTCCCTAAGTAAAGCTTAAATATAAAAATAATTCATAAAATAGTTTTTAAAAAAAATCCTTTTTTATGTTACTCGTATGTCTATGGTGTGCATGCGGGTCGGGTTGATCTGTTAATCAATACGAAATCAAGCATGTGACGGACTAAATCAACCAAGAAAGAGGCCCATCTTCTGAAAGTGGGCCTACTCTTCCCATCCCAAGTCCACATATTTTATTTTGAAAATCTGTCTTTAGGAGCACGAATGTTTTACTTTTTATTTAATCAGATTGAAGCATGAAAAAATGCGTAAAATTGAAAAATACATAACTGTTATCGAAAAAATAAATGTCAGAAGTGGGATTTGAACCCACGCCCTCTCACGAGGACCAGAACTTGAGTCTGGCGCCTTAGACCACTCGGCCACCCTGACAATGACATCTAAGCGTCGAAAGTCATTTATAATGTTCATTTCAACAAGTTCATTTATTTTTATAATTTGGCAGAGAGTACTTTTATATGATTTAGCTGGAATAAATCCCTGCAACCACACCACACTTCAAATGAACTTCGTAATTTTTTGATAAAAAAAATGTTTTGGTTGGTTACTGGAGAGGCACTATTTCGCGCGGGTTAAGTCGCTAACAATTAAAAAGGATCAGACGATTGTGTAAGGGACGAAACCTCTTGAGACAAAGTCCCAAAAAGGGGTGTTCTTTTATTGGCAATGAACTTTACAATTGGGAATGAAAAACAACGTGCCTTCAAGGGGCGCAAGCACACGAGTTACAGAAAGAAAAATGTTTAAGTCTAAAAGCTAAGGAAATGAAAATTACATATTCTCTGTTCGAGAGTTTTGGATTCGGTCTTTTGCTTCTGCGTCCTTTCTCCCTTTTATACCTTATAGACGATCTCTTTGTGATTAACTACCCTAAAAACTGTTTGATTGTCCTATAACTATCCACTTTCTTTGTAGTGGCCATTTTGTCATGAAACTGTCTTTTAACTGCTGCCATTATCTTTCATCGTTCAACTGCTTTCGATTGAATTCCTTGAGTCGTGGAACGTGATAAGGCTACTTTAACAACTGCCTTGATAACTGCATTCCTTGATAATCACGATGCGTTATATTT